TGAGCAGCAATCTTTGAATCTGACATCAGAATTGCAAAATTCAAAATGGCGGATCCAATATGGCCGACATGTATATTGAAAAGCTATTACATTTTCATGAAACTTGGTATTTATGACTCGTTTGAGCAGCAATCTTTGAATCTGACATCAGAATTGCAAAATTCAAAATGGCGGATCCGATATGGCCGACATGTATATTGAAAAGCTACGAAACAACGATACGTTTTGGAGTTTGAAAATATTTTTATCACAGTAGCAGAATAGAAAGAATATACACTCGTACAAAAAAAAATAGGGAACACTTTATAAACTCTAAAAATTAGGCTATATTCGAATATCTGTAAGTCGGTGAAGAATCATCGTAAAAATAAAATTAAAAAAGCGTTTTAAAGCTTGAAGTTTCAACTTTAACGTGCTACATATTACAGACGCATAACAAAAAGTTACTGACCTCGCATTTTAGTTCCCGATATGAAACTGAAGTCCTGAGATCGTTCTGGCTCAAAAAACGCCATCTTTCTTTTTTTGTTGTCATAAGCTGCTACTTTGAATGGAATTATTTCAAGACTTTTTAGACCTGGTGCCATCGACAATACTCTTGCCCCGTGTGTTGCGTCGTACAGATTACCTAATGTTGCAAACAAAAATATAGTATTCATAAACTATTTTTTGTTGAGACCTTATCATAAGAGAACAAGTGACTAGTCTATTTACACTAAATTCTAATTCAACTTGAAACAAATTTTTTTTTTTTAAATTACCCCTCCCCGAAATTTTAACGTGTTAACGAGATATTTTTCATTATCTGATGTCGTCATTATTTGACGAATGATTATTTGTTAAAATAACATAAAAACAAATGTAGATTTTGGATATTATTTAAGATAAGTTCGACACTACAAGTTTGTTAAATTTACACAAAAAAATGGTTAAAGTTACCAACTTTTTGTGGTAATTCCTTGATGTGTTAAATAACCCCATAATATTGAAACGATATATGAATCGATTTGGGACATGTGATTTGTGTTGAATTCAATACAAAAATTTTTAATAGTGTATGTATTATAGTTATCATTTTGACAATACCGTCTGGCGTTTTGGACTTGTCAGGATGCGGTAGACCGGCAGGATCGCGACCAACGATATAAAAGTTTGCTCCTGCCATCATTCTTGCCTTCGCATGCCATTGCACCTACGAAATAAATTATTCATTGTTATAATGTAACATTACAATTCTTTTTATTCGTAATATAAAGCAGTTCACGGATGTATAATAATTTTAATACGTAATTTCAGTACAACTAATCCTTGATTTATAATCGTTACTGTTTTATTTTTTATTTACTATTTTACTTTTGCACAGTACTGTCTTAAGACAATTCTTTTATTAGTATTATAAAGCAGTTCACGGATGTGCAATAATTGTGATACATAATTTCAGTACACCTAATCCTTGATTTATAATCGTTACTGTTTTATACGATTTTACTTTTGCACGGTACTGTCTTAACACAATTTCGCTTTTGAACGATTTTCAAAATCAAGAAGTGCACGCTGTGTATATACTTATACAGTCAATTTTTAATACTGTTCGTTTGTTAACACTGACATCAAATCTAAGAAAGGGAATTATCCTTTTTGGTTATAAAAATTTTTACACATATTAATTACGTCAATAATTTGTGTTTTTCGTAAACAAAAATTTAAAAAATTTGTATTTAATAGCTGATGATAAATACTTATAGTTTTTGTGGCATTTTTATGATTTTATTAAAATTTAATGGGTTTTACCATGTCGACAGAAAATTAGAAATTAGAAAATTTGAAAATTTGAAAATTTGAAAATTTGGAAATTAGAAAATTAGAAAATTAGAAAATTAGAAAATTAGAAAATTAGAAAATTAGAAAACAAAATGACAATTGAAAAATTAGAAAACAAAATGACAATTGAAAAAAATTCATATATATAGAAATCAATATTAAAATTGTAAAATGAAGCTTTGAAAAACTATGTAAAAATGTTTCAATATGTATAACAATTTTAAATGAAAAAAATATAAATAAAAAGTTTCAGTATTGCTTGATGTTATGGGAAAGTCTTGTTTCCATATTCCTTACAATTGCCACAAAAGAATTGTGGAAAGTCGGTTATTTTTCAATCGTTTACATGAAAACACTCCGTTAAATTAGTTGAAAAAAAAAAAATAATAATTACATGGATATTAGTATGGTGACACAATTATATAATGATATTAATTGCTACAGTTACAGTAATTGACTATTCTAGTTATAAATTAGTGATGGTACCTCCGTGGGTCCTGCATACAACATTGGACTTGGAAAAATGGCGAGAATGGTATCTTGGTGCAATACACCTTCCTCGAGAACACTTTGGTGCTGCTTTATCCTTACTGGTAACGGCACATCATCCTCTTTCGTCCATCCTCCCAAAGGATGCAGTAATAGAACTGGTTTTTTAAAGCCACGTTTCTCCAGAAGATATTTCCTCGTGTCCTAATATTAATTCGCGATAAATTAAAATTTAATGGGTTCTACCATATCGACAGGAAATCAGAAATTAGAAAATTAGAAAAGTAGAAAATTAGAAAACAAATATGCAATAATGCAGAAGAAATA